TTCAGTCTAGTTGTGGAGGACGTTGCTTCACTGGCCCAAGTTGGCACCATCATTGCGCTCTTCCCGGGCGAGGCAGATCAGTCGCTGGCTGCTGGCTGCTGGCCGCCTGAGAGTGCTTTTATAATCCTTTTATTGCACTGATTTTTTACAGGTTCTTAATTCCATTTTTCTACATTTACCTTTCTCTGAAAAAGGCAGTGGGCTCAGAACACCCTAGGTAGAAAGAAAAAATATATATACGGGGAAGGGGAAAACCGCAATGATTTATTCCTCTGTGTGTCTCCCATATTTATTTAGAACAGTAAACTACTATCTGTAAATTTATAAGGAATTCCACACTAACTATTTCCCTTCCAGTAAAGACTTGTAAATTTCCCCTTCATGTAAATTTGCTTTGTATTTTAACATAAGCACTTGCTGGGTCTAACCCTTGTCTTAAAATTCCAAATAGAGCCAAGGATGAGCACTTTATTCTTCTGTTTAGAGAACTTCCTTGGGGTTTTTTTGGAAAAGATGTTTTAAGCCATGTGAGGTTGGTGCTGTGACGTAAGTAAGTAGTTTTAACAACCCCCAGAATAGATTATTATTCCTAAATGTTCATGATTACTGTAGAGTAGAGAAGTGAGAAGGGGGCTCCTATTGGGTTTAAGGAAAGTGAATTGCCTTTGGCATCCTTTCCCCAAGGACTTATTCCTTCTTAGACCTTGAGCAATCTGCTGGCTCTCTGACCCTCAGTTTCCTCATCTGTAATATTGCTGAGTGAGCGTTAAGGCATAACATTTGAAACCATGGCCTAGGTGCTACCGGCACACTGGCAAGGGCTCCTGTGGGCTGCCCTGTTCATCTTTGGCTTCATGTCAGCACTGGACCTTCAAGCCACCAGTCGTTCTTAGGAAAGGGTCAGCCACCAGGAATGACCAGCTGATGGCCGTCTTCCACATGTGATGAATGGCTGTGTAGGAAAACCAACCCTGTTAAGCTTTAGTCTGAACTATGTAGTTTTTATCATAAACATGTATGGAGCACTTGTTGCAATCTAGACATGAATGAGACACAGCCTCTGTTTAAGGACTTCAAGTGGGAGAGACGAGAGGAGATGAGATTAGAGTTTACAAACACTTAAGGATCCAGGGTATATCCGTGATATTGTGATTTATAGGAAACATATAATTTGGTCTTCATCCACAGTTCCTGGCTTACAGCTCCTAAAACCTTTGGAATTTCCTAAGTGTTGAAAGTGAGAGGTGTCTTGAGTTGTGTTGTGTTAACGAGGTGACTTTTGGAAAGCACCTAAGGATAGGGCTGGGTGCCAAAAGTGCCAACTGTGTGATTCAAGGGTTGGAACTTTCACTCCCACCGCCAGGGTGGGGCAAGGGGCTGGAGGTTGAATCAGTCGCCAATAGTCAATGATTTAATAAATCATGCCTACGTAATGAAACCTCCCATCAAAACCCAAAATGATGGGGTTAGGAGAGCTTCTGGTTGGTGAGCATGTGGAGGTTGCGGGGAGAACCTGGGCAGGGCATGGAAGCTCCGTTCCCTTTCCTACATACTTTCCCCTTTGCATCTCCTCCACTGGCTGTTCCTGAGTTATATCCTTTTGTAATCAACAGGTGAAATGTTTCTGAGTTCTGTGAGCTGCTGTAGCAAATTAATCGAACCCGAGTTGGGAGTCTCGGGAACCTGATTTATAGCCAGTTGATNAGTGTCTTGTTTATTTTAAATAAATGTGTTATGGGTTAGAAATGATCTCATGCTACCTGATTTCTAATAGTGAAGCAGTTTTCTCTTTGCGACTCAACGTCCAAACTCATCTGTGTGTATTGGCCTCTCCTAGGGGAGCCCTTCAATGGGCAGCTGGTGACAGAAGGGAGGAGCCCCGAGGAGAGAGAAGAGAAGGAGGGGAGTGAGAAGGAAGACGTGCACGGCGGGGCGCCTGAAATATTCACCTCCGAATCAGCGCAGACCTTCCCAGTCAGGCATCCTGATAGATTCTCTTCCCACCGGCCAGACAATGTGGTACCCCCAGCACCACAGCCCCCACGACGAAGCCGAGACCACAACTGGAAGCAGCTCGGGACAACGGACTGCTCCACGACCTGTGGGAAAGGTGAGCTCATAGGTGCGCTGGAAGGGTCTCTGCAGAGGCCCAGGTGAGGAAGGTGCAGGTGGGCCCCGAGGGCCACGGCAAACCCCACCTCCGTGAGCCTGGCCGTGAGGTAGCTTATTCGTGTGATGTCGTGTTGGGGCCACCCTCAGGCTCAACAACCCACTATAAGGACATACCAGACAGAAAAGCTACTGTGCTCATGGTTACAGTTTATTACAGTGAGAAGATACAGATTAGAATCAGCGAAGGGAGGCAGAATGTTAGAGATAATTACACAGGAAGGCCAAAATCATTTTAGTGAGGACCTGTCCATGACACTAGAGATTAGCAGTATGGAACATAATTGACATAAGAACCCAAGATCAAAATGTATTATTACTGAAATATTCTGCCATTTAGGTAGTGGTGTGAAGCCTGTTAAAGGAACCAGATACACTCAGACCTAGGTGAAAACAAGGAAAAGCTATAAAAAGGATAAAAATTGTTGTGAGGTAGTTTTATATCACAGGTGGCATGTGCAGAAGATTCTCTTCTGTTTCCTGTCTTTAACAATAGCCTGGCCCAGCCCTTCTGGAAGGGTAAGATGTAGCCTGGTCCGGAGACCGGAAGGCATTCATTGTGGATGTAATGGGATGAGAACAAAGCAAGTGTCGTTTGTCAGCTCACCCTTCATGCTCACACAGTCTTGTGTTCACTCTTCTCCAGCCCTTCCTGGTGGAACTAACCAGACCACACATTTCTATGGCTGTCACATTAAAATTTCCCTTTCTGTAAATACTTTCAAGTTTATGACATCATCATCCCAGGAGGGGCCCCATCGCAGGCATCGTGGCTCGGTTTGGTTGATTCCTGGGGTTCCAACTAGAGTTATGTTTTTCCTTACTCCTTATTTTGTCCATCTCTCCAGAATGCCTTACTGACCTCTACCTGTGATACAGTTCCCTGCTCTGACATAACATCTATTTTGATCGATACACCCAAAATATAACCCAACCAAATGGATCCCAAGTCTTTTCTGCTGCCTGAAGCCCAACCAGCACCTCACCACCCCATTCTTGATTGCTGGCAATTAGAGGAACACTGAATGCTTGAACAAAGGGTTCCATCGTGTAATGGTTAGCACTTTGGACTCTGACTCTGAATGCTTGAACAGTGAAGAGAGAGCCAGATGTCTCCCTTTTTGCAGAAACCAAAACTGACCCAAAGAAAGAAACCGTTGTGGTCACTGGAGTCAAGAATTATATATCTGGTATTTTCTCACCATCAGCGGAAGAGAGAAAGCCTCCAAATTTATTTCCTTGGCTAAACTCTGGAGCTGGACCATAGACAAGTGTCCTGTAAAGGCCATAGAAGGGGAGGGGAAGGCAGGCAGAGGCCCTGTGCAAGCAGCCCCGAGCAGGACCCATCTTTGCAGGACACAGAGCATTCCTATAGTAACCTGTATCCTTTTAGCTCAAGATATTACGTTTCTCCCCACTTGAGTGCTAGGTGATTGGGGTAGTTACTTTTGCTTTCCAACCCACAAACGTGTAAATAGATAAGTTAAACTCCTGTGGTCTGAAGGGAAAGGGATAGGCTAAAAAATAAGATTTTTACTTAATTCCTTAATAGCGGGGTCCCAAATAGGTACCCTGCAAGCTGTGAACTGAATCTTATCCATCTTTATAACTCAGCACAATGTGCTTAATGTTTGTTAAATTTAATTAAAGATCTCTTCTTAAATGGAAGCAGATATGTCTCTGGACGAAACTGAATTCCACAAAAGTTTTTGCTTCCTATTAATTTTACAGTCAGTACTGCTTTTTACTCAGCTAATAATTATGCTTAATTGGAACTTTATTTTAAATACTGGTCTCCAGTTATAGCTAGCTACATTGTAAATTTTTACTGCCAGAGCACTTTAAGCAAATGTTTGTTTTAGATTCAAAACTGTCTTACAAACTGTCCCGGTTCTTGCAAGAACTACCCTCTGACTCAGTGTGTCACACAAGATCAGTTTAAAGAAGCATTGAAACACTGTTCATGGCAGATGAAATATTGAGGCACATATTAAAAGTTATCCCTCCAGTTACAATTAAAAATGTAGCAAGTTGGAAGCTCAGAAACTATAAATGCCTGCCAATTAGCAACAGCTAAGACAGAGCTGTAGAAAAAATAGTAGTGTTCTGCCACAGCAGGAATTGTGCAGTGGCCTGGAGTGGAGGTGGGAGAGGGAGTGTTGGCAGTGCCCTATGAAGAAGCATCTTACTCTTCCAGCAGTTGGGTTGCCCCTTCAGCTGGTTACATTTCTCACTTTGTAAATGTCCATCAGGAATACTTCGGTGCTGCCACCAAGGGGTAGCAGAGAGAGGAAGGCAGAATTGTGAATTGGCTGTGTTTGGGGTTGTTGTTTGCTTGAGAGCTAGAAATTCCACTTAACAAATTATTTTTCTCCAAAATAGATTTATCCACTTTTAGCCAATGAAACTAAGCTGTGTATTAAAAAAA